GCGCAGTAGAATTGTATTGCACTTAAGGCTGCGCAGTTTACAGTTTTATCTCACAGACATTGTGCTCAATATGCGTTTACAAAAGAAAAAAAAAGTTTTTAAGATACAAGCTTGCAGTGGTAAACTTCTGAAAGTTTTCTTCGCAAGCTTTTTGGTTACTTTAGGTAGCTCGATATAATGATAAATTTTTTATACTTTACTGTCATATTTCACTCACACTGTAAGTCAAGAACCTGTTCTAAGTTGTTTTAATTGTTCAAAACGAAGTTGTTTAATTTTTGATATTAAAAAGCAATGTTTAAGCTTTCATTTCATCCTATGTAAAGCATTTAATTCCCTCACGTTTTTGTTTTACAGCTGTACAAAAAAGGCCAAAAACGCGTTTTTTTGCACTTTAAAACTCTTGTTGCTCGAAAACTAGGGTCAATTGGATATTTTCAAGGTCAGATTCGGATTCTACGGCAAAAATCCTATAAGAATCGGCTGTAACATTTTAGTCAACATGAAGTTGACAAAATTTTGTCGGCCTGTGTAATAAACTAAAACATAATTTTAAAAAAATAAACTTTTCTAATTCATTTGTTCAATTTAATAAACACATAATTTTTTGCATAGTGAAGTAAAAAATTTTAAGCGTCGATTAAGTAGGCAGGTGGAGAAAGAACAACGAAAGAGAGCTCGCTTTACAGAAGTCCAAGAAATTCGTAGAGTCGTATTAGTAAATTATTCGAATTTTGAAGAAAGTTATTCTGATCAAGAGTACAATGGCACGAACTCAAAAAATAATACTTCTGAAACTATCAGATCCCCAATTCAACATGATTTACAATTAGAAAATTACGAAAGTGATAATCGTGCGTTTGATAATGAAGATGTTTCAAATGATGACAATCAAAATGATTTGGTAGATAATAACGAGTTGTTCATTCAGGGTAATGATATAGAAGAGTTTGATAATGAAGAAATTGAAGAATCAGAAGGAAATCCATTCAGTAGTTCTAGTGAAGAAAGTTCTGATAGTGATACTGATAGCAGTAGTAGCAGTGACTTCGATGATCGTATTCTGCTCGTCAATGAAGAAGAAAGAGAGCAATATGCGGCTGATACTCTACGAGAATGGGCCTGTTCTGGTAGTACACTTTCTATGAAAAAATTAGATGATCTACTACTTAGATTACATCCATTGTTTTCTCGACTTCCATTGAGCTATAAAACTTTACTGCGCACCCCTAAAAAAGTAGATATTCAAGATCTAGGAGAAGGATCACAAATGTGGTATAATGGAATTGAGAACAGCTTACAGAATATGTCGCTGCAAGATTATCTCGATATGCATGGTGAAATAATTATTGATGTTGGTATAGATGGATTGCCAATTTCGAAAAGTTCAAGATTAAAGTTTTGGCCAATCATGGGTCGTCTTGTACATGCAGAAAAATGTACTTTTGTAATTGCTGTGTTCTTTGGAACATCTGATCCCGATACTTTTTTACCTGATTTTGTTAATGAGGTATTGCGACTTAAACGGCTAGGTTTTTGGTATAATAATACTTTTTACCTTTTTTCAATTAGACATTTTATCCTTAATGCACCTGCGCGTTCTCTAGTAAAATGCACCATAAATCATGGGGCATATGGAGCATGTGAAAAATGCAGTTTTTGGAAAAAATGTTTGTGATAGAATTGTTTATCTTGATTTGAATTCTCCCTTGAGAACAGATGAAACTTTTAAATACAAGGATGATGAATATCACCATACTGGTCATTCTCTGTTAGAAATTGCAGAAATTGGAATGATTTCTCAATTTAGATTGGATCCATTTCACTTAGTTTGGCATGGTGCTTTCAAACGACTAATGACTGTCTGGGATACATGGCCTGGTGTATGGAAGTGGACAACGGATGATAGGAACAAAATGACTGATATTCTTGCGACAGTAAAATAGACTTGCCCCAGGATTTCAATCGCAAACCGCGCTCCATTAGAGAGTGGAATAAGTTTAAAGCTACTGAAGAGAGACGCCTGTGTCTTTATGATGGAATATTGGTTTGTAGAGATCAATTGACAGAAAACGTATATAAGAACTTCTTGCTTTTTCACGCTGCTATCTTCCTACTTGCTTCTTCAGCGTATGTAAAGTCATTATGTGATTTTGCTAACATCTGCCTTAAAAACTATATTAGTCATTCGATTAGTATTTATGGCAGGAAATTTGTTGTATACAATGTGCACTCCTTCAGTTCTTTACCGAACGAATGCAAAGAACATGGAGAACTAGATTCATTTAGCGCCTTTGATTTCGAAAATCTTTTAAAATCTCTGAAAGAAACTCTCCGGTCAGGCAACAAACCATTGCAGCAAGTTGTATTACGATACTCAGAACGAATTCATTCTGCTCCTGTTCAGTTAATCACTAATGAAAAATTAGTACATTTGTCTCGACAGCATCATGATCCTGATGAAATTATACCTGGTTCGCACTTTAAACGTATAAATATTGGTGGTGTCGTGCTTTAATGTGGAGAAAAAGATTCATGCTTTAGTACCTTTAACGGAGACGTTGTAGTTCTTAAAAACATTGTAAGAATGGATAACAACATCTATTTGACAGGACAAAAATTTAACAGTCTTAATGATTTTTACACATATCCATTACCATCGTCATGGCTTGGAATTTACAAAGCATCTGACCTATCTCAGGAGCGAAATGTGTACAACCTAGAAAATGTTAAATCCAAATGTTGGCTTATGAAAGACGGTTGCACATTTTTAATCGTACCGTTGCTCCACACGCTTCCTATGTTCTAGCCTTTTAAAATGTTCAGAATTTTATTTTTAAAAAAACATTTTATAGTAAAAAGGTAAATTTGATACAGTAGAACCTTGATTATCCGAACTAACTTAGACAGGACCTGGTTCGGATAATAGAAAATTGAGTGTTATATAAATAATGTATAAACATTGAACGATTGAATAACATATATATTTATTTAACATATTTCATTCAAAGAAACGTAAATATTGGTTATAATTATATAAAAAATTATATTTAGAATTTTTTAAGGTTTTTTACAGAAATCTACATATTTTACTTTCCATATATTTTTTTAAAATATGAAACATGAACAAAATTAAAAAATGTATTTTAAACAATGGAACGAAAAAATTTCGGATAATAGAGGGTTCGGATAATCGAGGTTCCACTGTATTTACAAATAAAAAACTGCACTAAAAACAAAATGCTTAATATTCTTTAAATTAAGTTTATTTTAATTTCTTAAGCTTGCAATATTTCTTATTTTGTACATATTTTGACATTAAAAATTTTAAGTGCTTTAAATAATTTAAATTGGTTAATTTTAAATGTTGCAGTTCATTGTTGTGAAATTTTCGCCAAATTTGGATGCTGCAGACAAAGAAACAGTATATGAAGTGGCCCCTTCCAAATGGCTTACATCTTTTCGTGCAGAAACAATGAAAGGTTTATTTTTGTGGCCTAAAAATAAAGTTACAGCTGGTTCATTTGTTCGTCGAGAGAAAATAGCTAGTCCATCTTGGCCTTCATATGAAGTCGTTGTTCAAAGATTTTGTGGCAAGTTTCATTTTTAAGAATATACTTACAGAATGTTTTTTTAAATACAAACTGTTATTCTTATTGTTTTTTTAGATACTTACGCGAAAGGTTCTGAAATTGTAAAGGGTTTAATTGACACCTCTAGCTATGAAACTGATCAAGAACGTCTAAGGGGCCGAGGTTTTCGCAAAAGAAAAGCCAAACGTTTCTCAAGTTCTTCAAGCTCTGATGTGAGTGACACTGAGAAAAAAGGAAAACAAGTTAAGAAAGACGTTCCTGCTCCACCGCCTATCTCTGGTTTAAATATATCGATGCCTCTAATAAAGCCAGCAGATTCAATTAAATTGAAGATTTCTGACAAAAAAACCAAAAAAAGCCATTGAAAAAACCAAATAGAAATAAGGAGGTTCCAATTTCAAAACTAGAGGAAGTGAATCAAATAAAGAAGAGAATTTTAACAGAGCGCAGAAAAGCTGTACAGAATCAAGAACAAAAAAGAGGTGCTATTGGTTTTCAATTATTCGCTTTTGGACCTGTAATAATAATATAATAATAATATGTTTATTTGTCTTAAGCAATACAAGCTTTACAAATGTGAGTCGTGTGTCTCAATCATATCTTACACGAAGTTTACACAAATCACTACAACCATATACATACAAAAGTTCTCGTCATCCCACATACAGACTTCTAAGTGTCACAACGTCGCTCGCCTATTTTTCGAAAAAATTCGTACAATTTGTTCGCGTTTTCTCGGGAATTTACTTTAAGGATTTCTATTATTTTTTCAGCCAGTTCCACTTGAAAATTGGGTGTGTTAATCAAATCTCGTCTTTCAACATTATATTCGGGGCATTCTGCCATTACGTGGTACAAACTTTCAACAGTCGTGGAGAGGCACGATTTACATTGTTCGTTCTGCTGGAATTTAAGGCGATTATTCTTGGTTGACACTCTCCACGAAATGTTGCTAGCCAGTCTACATTGGGCGATAAGTTTAGTTTTGTAGAACGGTAATTTTAAGTTTAAATATGGTTGCCGGCCCTGTACCAGTGGCAAGTGGGGGTAGACTTGAAGGCTACCAGACTCCGAGACTCTGTTTCTATCGTTTGTTTTTGAAATTTTGATGTAATTGTTTATTATTTCATTTTTTTTGTTGATAACTATATTTGGTGTTAGATTTGCTTCTTCCAAATTTCCGCTTATTAATTCCTTTTTGTTAATTTCTTTAGTTATTTGTGAAAACCAGTTTTTTTTATTTGAATTGTTTGAGTTTTGTGATAAATTTATTAGTTTTATTTATTAGCCTTTGCAAACATCTGCAAAACCATCTGTTATTAAGGATTTATCTATTGAAGATGCCTTTGCAAATAAAAAGGTTCCAGACTTAAATGTAGAGGACATGATTCAACAAACGCAGGAACTATTGAAAAATTATAAAGAACTTATTCAGCACGAAAAAGAGAAAAAAAATTCTACAAATTTGCAATCATCCGGTTTTCATGCTCAAAAGGACAGGATTAAATTGCCTTCACAGACATTTGTACCATCTCCTTCACAACCATCTACTTCCAAGGGTTTATTTGATCAAGATGTGTCCTTTTCTGATGAATCCATGAAAAGATCTCCAAATTGTCCATCGTCTACACAAGATTCATCACCAACTACACATTTGTCGCCCGAACAATCGCCAAATAATGTTCAGCCCTCACTCCCAGCCTGGATACGGATCCTTCAGAAAAGTCAAGCAATACTCCTTTAAATTCGATCACTTCGAAAACACTAAACACCCCTAAAGGAAGAAACTCAAATAGTATTCGCGCTCGATCTCTGTTTGACACTGCTCAACACAACGTTTTTAACAGTAAGATAGATATTTTTCTCTTATACCTTTTATATATTTTTAAAAAAATTAAATCAAATATGTTTAAATAATGCAAACTTTCTTTGAAAATTTTTCAGACGACGCTATCCTTTTAAGAAACCTTGCAAACTTTGATGCCTCATGAGAAACGGATTCAACGACCAAATAATCTTCCACCTCTGCCTATCAGTGACTTAAAAGAATTTCAATGTTTTGAAAAATTTCTTGATGATGGTGCAAACTTCTCAGCAACTGTAAATATTTTTATTTCTCATAATATGTTCATAATGATTTAGTACCTGACTATTTAATTTTTATTTTTACAGAGTTATTATCTATCATCATATCCACTGCCTAGGGAGGAAAAAGGTGCAATTTCAAAACTTATGCCAAAAGTTATAACCAATAATCTTGCTTCTGAATTTAATTTCGACGGTCACCGGTATAAACAAGGTTTTAAATCAGCCTTAAAGTGGCAGGTAATCCAAGGTAATAATTATCAACGCAAAAATTTTTTTAAATCTTTTAGAAAGTTTTAAATGTTTGAAAATAGAGTATATAATTTTTAGTATAAAAACTTAGTCTTTATAAATAAATTATTATATGCCTAACATTTTTCTTGACAGACCGAAAAAATATCCTCTTGTTTTAAGAGGAATCCTCTTATTGCAATGTATATTTTCGTCTAGTACATGCTACAAAAGGATTCCTCTTTTTTTTTGTTAGATTTCCCGCGTACACCTTTTTAAGGCTTTTACGCTCTCTATACCCCATCTTTAACCTCACCTTTTGGAAATCCCAAATTCCCAAGTCCCCAAATTGCGGTCCGTAGCCGACTTTTATTAGAAGTATTCGCATTTGCCTGACCCTTTCTTGATCAGAGTAGAGGGAAACTACGGAAAACCTCTACTGAATACAGCCGGTTTATTGACTGTCGAGTCATGAATGTACATTTAAATAGTCATCCAAATGCACAAACATATCCACGACGTCAAACCTCCCGCTTAGTATATCTCGATTGCAGCGAAAACACCAGGGCTAAAGCGGGTACCGAGGCGGTCACCCATCCAAGTACTAACCGTGCTTGGATGTGCTTAACCTCGGCGACCGCAAGCCAAGACGCTTCACCGCCCGAGCTATACTATCGGTTAAGGATTCCTCTTATTTTAAGGATATTCCTCTTAAACATTTAGAGTAATATTCTTGATTTAAGAGGAATCCTATTAAAATAAGAGGAATCCTTTTGCAACATATACTTGAGGTTCTTTTTTCGGTGCACTTCTTCGAAATAAATACATTTATTTGTGATATACATAAATGATTTTTTTTCTTTTGTTTACAGGTGCTTTATCCCTCAGGTATGAGAATTCGGATTTAACAGTTGCTGTTGTGGATATGCGTTCATGGTTGCGTAATGCTAAAGGACGTAAGCAAATTCCTACTGCTGATAGTAAAACCAAGAACCAAAGAGAGAAAAAACGAATCTCTACTACTCCTAATAATAGTAAGGACCAAGTCGTTTAAAATTTGTTTAAAATTTTCTGAATTTTAAAATTTGAATTTTAGGTAATATTCAAGAATCCTTTGATTTTGTTTTAAGTAATCTTGTTTCCTGTCAGTAATTAAACATTTGGTAGTTTCCGAACTATTTTTCATATTTTTCTTTTATTTTTAATCATTTTTCTTAAGTCATGCTAAGTTTTTTTTTGATTGATAGAGTTGTAATTATGTGATAATTCACAACTTGGCCAAGCCTTGCTTAAAATCACTAGTTTTGTACTCTTTGTTTCTTCTGCAAATTCATTCTGTTCATTGATTCATGTTACATTCCTTGTCAGTATTTAAGTTTTTCGATGTTCTATAATAATTTTCAATAAATAAAGTAAAAATTACTTTAATTAAAAATAGCCAAATATTAGTATAAAATATTTGCGTAACCTGTATTATTTACATTGCTATTGAACCATATTAATTTTTGTACGAGCAGCCACTATTGAGGAGCGATGCATTGGCGATACTGCTCCCGTTGTTTGCTTGGACTTACATCAAGAATAATCTAATGGCATCCTAATGCTAAATTAGTTATCTAATTGTCATGTTTTTGAAGATTTAGATATCGAATTGATAATCTACGACGTCAAATATAATAGTATTATATAATATAATAAGATCATTCACTTCTTGCTGGGAATATACTATTACTATATTACTGGGGTCTGATAGACCCCAATTTTGATATCAACAGACGTCTGATAACCTCCAAACTAGACGTCTAATAAACTCCAATCTAGACGTCTATAGACGTCTAGACGCAGATGTCTATAAACGTCTATGTAGATCTCAATTTAGACGCCACTTAGACGCATTTACATCGACGTCCTAGACGTCGAATAGACGTCTACTAGACCTTTCATTTCTCACTGGGATGTAAAATTAAATTGAACGATTTGAAACATTTAAGAAATTAATTTTGATAACTACATCAAATCAACATTCTCAATTCTATTTTGATTTAAAAACGACGAACTAAAATTTTATTTATGTTATTCTGATTTCATATACATATATATAAAAAATGATAATTCTAACCACCCATATATTTTTATTGGGTGGGGTTAAAATTTTGGTCTAAAATAGAACAAGTGCCTGTCAAGTTAGTATCCCTCCAAAAATTACGAAAGTAAATATATAGTTTCGAAAGATTTTTTGTTAAATTAATATTTTTCTTGTAAAGCACTAAAAATAAGGTTTGACCACTTCAAATTGAATGTCTCATGTTTAACAGTCATGATCAAAAAGCGAAGGGTGGTGACAACGGTTACCATTTTTCTAAAAATTCCGAACATATTAACGTTCCTGACTTTTTCGAGTTGTTAGTTGTAAGAGATGTTTTGACTCTATCTCCAATGTTAAGAATTACATCTGAATTACGTGGTTGTTGCTTTGTAGAGGCAGAAGATACATTTTTCCTTTTTTTATAATAGTCAAAAGTCGATATACACAATAAGTTAGGGAAACTACTCCTGCAGCAATTAATAGATAATTTACATGATTTTCATGTGTCCACCATATTCGACTCTTTTTTTGACGCCGAAGAAATAGGTCATTTAGTTTCTATTCCAGTTGATCAAGTGTTTCAACATTTTGTTAATATTTACTTTCTATGGTTGTATCTTTTTTCAAATTGATGGTTTCTGATGATTTAATAACAGTTTCATTCTATTGTCCTAAAATTGGCGCTAGTTTCTTCAAATTTAGTTCAACATTCGATTCATAAATTAGTTCTGAAATACCCTTTCGTGTTTGTAATGCTGGTAAAGTGACTGTTGGTGCTCGGGCGGTACATCCTGGTGCTAGTTGTAATAGTGATATCTCTAAGATATTTATCTTGCTATGATATTTTGATAAACATTTTATATTAACACTAGTTTCAGTATTAACTGAATACAACAATTCTCTAATAGTTTTTAGTCTTTGCAAGAATGGTTCATCATTATACTCTAACTTGACACTACAAGTCTTTAAGGTTGTGATTAAAGGCTGCAACAATATCTGTATCTCGCATGAAGGATTTCTGGAAATGTCATAAATTGCTGGAGATCCTCTTGTCCCATGAACATGTATGTTAGTTGGGTGTCATCTAATGCAAGGTAATTATATTGATAATCTATGTATGCTTTTGCTGTTTTGATTCCTAAGATTGATTGAAAAACTGGAAGAGGGTGTATTCTATAAATAGAATACAGTGGTTCCATTGTTAGCAGTATGCTTAATTGTTGTCAACTAATCAGATTTCTAAATTTTTATTCTGTAGGTAAATTTTTTTGTGAGACAAATCTATAGTAGTTCCTCTGACAACGCTGTTTAGTAGAATCTGTACTAAACGTGATTTGCAGAATGTACTGCCCTATTGAAAATTCCTGCGAAAGAACACACATATTTCGAGTTCCTTCGTAAGTTCCCTCGTATGTTCATATGTGGTTTACCACACAGGATCTTTTACAAAAGGATCCTGTAAGGAACTTGTTTGTGAACTATCATGCTTTCCCACATGTTAAAAATAATTGCAACACAGTACCTTTAAAGTGTTCCTAAATAGGTTCCTGCATGGTAACCTTAATAAGATTATTTACAAATTTGTTAAAAAACAAGCAAGGCAACAATGACAAATAAAAAAAAAATCAAATTCAATCACATTTAAAAAGTGAAGTGAGACAAATCTTTGGGGCATATAATGCTTTATTTTTACATTTTATCACGGAAAATCAAGAAGAGTTCTACAATATGACCAGAATGACTCCAAGTGATTTTGAAGAACTCCATAACCTAGTTGCACATAGACTCGAAAAATTTAGCCGCAGAGAAGCACTTGGAACAAGATTCCGTTTAACACTGACATTACAGTAAGTTAAAAAAATTGTAATAAACAACATTATTTTAAAATCCACTTTTTTTTAATAATATAAAGATTTCTTAATTTTTGAACTTTGATATTAATTTTTGTAATTTTGATACATTAGGTTATTAAACAAAAAAAAATATTTTGTATTAAATGTTAATTATTTTTTTCTGTCAATTAAATTACTACATGTTCCATATTATGTACAATATACAATATTTGGTAATTTTATAATAATTATTTTATATCCACAGTATTCTCGCTAACGGTGACAGCACTCGAACAACGGCATTTTTTTCGGGTAGGCCGATCAACTGTCTACGAAATTGTTAAAAAAATGGTGGCAGTTATCTGGGAGGAATTGTCTCCTTGGTACGTACGACCAAGAACTCAACGAGAATGGATGTTGATCGCGGCAGGTTTCCGAGCTAGATGGTACTTTTCAAACGTTCTGGGCGCCCTGGATGGGAAAGAATTCAAAATACGACCTCTTCCACACACGGGAACTTTGTATTATAATTATAAAAAATTTACGAGCATCAAAATGATGGCAACTTGTGACGCTTTCTATCGTTTCACGTGGGTCGACGTCGGAAATTTTGGTTAATAAGTTGAAATTGATTTATTTGATTACATATATAATATTTAGCTTGGTTAATGAATTTTAAATTTCTTTAATGAAAGAAAAAAATTTTTAAATCAATTTATATTTAACATATAAATTTTATTATATACTTGAAGGCAATTTAAGTGATCTTTCAGTGTTTAGAAACACTCACTTTTATGAGGATCTGCGAAAAGGGTGTGTTGATTTACCTCCCAGCTGTGAATTGCCGCGAACGAGGATAAAAATGCCCTATTTTTTTATTGTTGATAAAATTTTTCTGGCTACGGAAAAAGTGATAATACCATTTGCTCGCCGCTATGGCCTTGATGCTGGGCAAAAGAATTTTAATTATAGGTATGCTCATTTTTTCTAAGTTAACCTACTAACAACAATAATCCCTTAATTAATTTGCAATTAAAATTATTATTACTATTATTATTATTATTATTGTTTTTACTATTATTATAGATTATCAAAAGCGCGCCATACAATAGAGGCTGCCTTTGGAATCCTCACGGCTACTTGGCAGATTTTAAAGGATACATTGAAATTTAAAGTTGAAACTTCTATTAATATTGTTCTGGCAACAGTTTGTTTGCACAATTTCCTAATCACCCGACGTTTGCAACGAGGAGAGGAAGTGCAATGGGATCCACAAAATGACAGATTTTACGACGTTAATCCTGGTAAGTATCAAAACAGAAAATATACCCAATTTGGTACTGTTTAAAAATTTTTAAATTAAATTTTGCTTAAATTTATTTGTTTTATACTTTAATTATGTTTTTCATTTATTAGTTTCAATTATTTCAAATTTAAATCAATTTCTAATTTAATCGGTAATATTAGATAATAGACAAGTGGATGAATTTTTGGATAACCATCAGGATGCAGTAAATATAAATATGACTCGTCAACGGGAAATTCTTATGGATTATTTTATGTCGCCAGCTGGTGAATTGTAAAGAATTTTTTAAATATTAAATTTTTTTAGGATTTAAAATTTAATGCAACAATATTTATTTAAAAAATGTTTATTTTTCAAATTAAAAACTGTATTCTAAAATTAGTTGAAAGAATTTTTTTTTAAATGAAGAAAACTTGAAGTGATGACACCTAAAAAAACTGTATAATTACTGTATTATTGAACTTCTATTGTATGTTTATATTTTTCAAGAATTAATCAAATGTCGTTAAAAATTTCGCTTTGTTCTATTGCATTTAGAGATTTCCAATCTTTGTGAAGAATATTTAAAAAGCCATCCGTAGCTGGCTCAACTGGTTTAACGACTTTTAAAAATTTCGATTTTGCGTTTCTGTTCTTGTTTTTCTCTGTCGCCTGCTTTAATTTGGCCAGTTTGGTGAATTCGGAATTCATTTTTCTTGTATCTTTACAAAGAAGAATCACCTCGTCTTGCACTTCATTGAATTTTTCTTTTTCTGACGCCTTTGTTATCGCGAATTTGTCAAATTTCCTGCATCGGTTGCCGTTGTGAATTTATTCCTGGACGTGGTGCTGCAGGCAATGTAGGTCTCTTTGATTTAATTTGATTCGATTCAAATTCGTTATGCCTTTTTGGTACCGGTTTGTTTCCTCGATTTGGATTTTGTTGTTGTCCATTTCTATTTATATCACTTTTATGGTTGGAAGAGGTTTTTGCGCCAGGTGGTGAAACTTGAAAATGTGTGTTTTGCGCTGTAGTTGGTGTTGATTTGTTTGTGTTTCCTTGTACTTTGGCAAAGTCAAATTCTTGTTGCTCTTCGTTTTCATTTCTTGTTTCTGCTTCATTATTTGCAAAGCTGGGCATCGAGTAAAATGTAGTGGGTCCCGGTCGCAAAAAATCCAAAGTGTTTTGCCTATTGTGTGATGCAAATGCAGAAGGTGGGGATTGTGGTGGTGGTGGCTGCGTTGGTGGTGCGGATGGTGAGAATAGTGGTGGTGGCGGCGTTGATGGTGTGGATGGTCGCGGTTGTGATGCTTGCGAATGGCGAAGATTTACCGAGGCAAATGGTAAAAGTTTTTTTTCTGTTGCGGTTTTTGTTGGCAGTGTAAATCTGGAGTCTATTTCGTATCTGGCACCAGTTGCGGATGACTGAGATGGCACAAGTGTGAAACGACGCATGCTTGGAGCCTCTACGAAGAAACTCGGAAAAGTTGACCTCCATTTTCTGAATGTCATTAATGTTGCTTGTGTCGATGTCTGATTGTAGAGATTTGAAAAAGCAGCGGCTTCTGCTGCTGACATTCTCCGTACTGTAAGCGCAGGGGCTGCTTCAAGCGCAAGGGTTGCTCCAAGCGCAGGGGCTGCTCCGAGCGCAGAGGCTGCTTCAAGCGCAGGGGCGCTCCGATGGCTGGGGCTTCAAGCGCAGGATTGTCAGATTGACAAGAGTCGTCACTTTGAAAAAATAATTAAATTATTTATTTAATATATATTATTATAATTTATAATAATTATTATTTATATAATTTTTTTTAAAGTAAAACAAGGGGTTACACACATTTTCAAAGGGAAAAAATATGATGATATTTAAAAAAAAAACATTTTTCTATAAATGACAAAAACGTTTCGCATTGTCTTCCTAAAAAAGGAAATTTTTATAATTCCTTCAAAAGGAAGATTTTTTTTAACTGAAAACAAAAGATTAAATAACAAACCTTTTATGTGAAATAAAAGGCTTCAGAAAAGAGAGTTTGTCGTACAAAGCCCATTTGGTGTTGCCTTCTTTATCGTGGTTACTAAAATTGCGGCGTAAATTTCCCCACTCCTTTTTTGCATCTGAAAACAATCATGAAATATAATAATAATTATAATGTAAATTACTGACATTTCACTGATTTCCAGTGAAATTTCACTAATGGAAATCTTGATAAGAGATAGGCACTGAGAATCAGTGAATTTTTCACTTATTTGCAATTAAAATTTCACTGATTGAATTAGTCAACCTCAGTTGGTAAAATAGAAATGTCTGATTCAATCAGTGAAATTTTAACTGCAAATCAGTGAAATATGACTTCTGGCTATTATTTCAGTGAAATCTCACTGATTCAAATTGAGAGTGCAAATGCAAAGGACATATGTTTGAGATAAAATTGACAATTCTTCTAATAGAAGTCGGGTTTCTTTCGCTGATTAGCCTAATCCAAGTCTCTTTAATAACATTCTCATCATCTGAAGAAGATATATATTTCTTTCTAATTTCCTGAAGGGAATTACATTTAATAAATATATGGAAGTCGTCACTCAATGGCCTTTGTTCTTCGCATTTACATGTTTGGTTTGCTGAAAGCTTGTAAGATTTGCCCTTAATTACAATCCTGGTTTTGTATTCATTTAACAGTCTTATTTGAGACAGTATTCTAATTAGTGACAGCGATATTTTAGTTTGTAAATATGGTTGCGGACCAGCGTACAGTGGTATTTGTGTATATAACTTAAGAGATGAGGAAATCTGGAGTCTCGAGGTATCCTTTTCGAACATAAAGTTTTGAAATTTTTTAATTAGCTTGATTTTATTTATTTTTAAAGAATCGGATAAGAGATTATTCCAGATTTCTTCCTCTCCAATGTGAATAAAAAAGCTTTTAACCTGAAGGGCCCAATTATATTTGGCGTTTGCCATTTTTCTATCCGATAGAGCTCTCAATTTTTCGAAACAATTTCTAGGATATCTCTCCTGCCCCATATCCAGAATCTTCTCTAACCAATTTAAAATCATTTTAAACACACGAACAACCAAATGCGGACTACCCGTCTCTATACGAATTGCATAATTCGGCGTATTTGAAGGGACATTGAGGACATCCTTATAAAACCCTGTGTGGATTTTTTCAATTTCATCCATATACCGAAGTGACCAAACAAGCGCCGCATACAATAAGGTACTAGATACAAGACTGTCAAACAATTTTTCCACTGCATTCCATGATTCTGGATTTAAGCTATACAATAAAGGAATAGTAGTACCCTTAGCCAGACCAGCCTTGCTTTTGACTGATTGAGCAGCTGACGCAAAACGTGCAGATTCGGCAAAGGGTACCCCCAGATAAACATATTTATTTGTTATTTCTATTATCTCATTACCAAAGTATAGAGTCGGATATTTCTTTTTGTGACCATGGCCACCCTTTTGGAATATTACCACATTGGTTTTTTTAATATTAACTATGAGTTTATTTATTGAAGCATATTCGTAAAGACATCTTATGATTTTTTTCATATCTACTATGTTGTCAGCCATAATTATTAAGTCATCAGCATAAGCGAGTAACAATATCTCTGTAAGGTGATTTATTGAAACCCCTCTTATACCTTTATTAATTAAGAATTTTTCCAAGTCTGCTATATACAGGTTAAAAAAGGAGGGACTTAGAGTTTCACCCTGTAAAATTCCCTTGGTAACATCCACCGGTTCAGATAGCCCCCCACCCTCCTTTATCCCCCTTTTTTTATATATCATTATTGTATTTAATTGAGACCATGCCCGGGGGACTTTTTCGGAGGTCATTACTCCACCAAATAGATCCCTTAAGTAAATGATCCAGCTTTCAGGCAATTTTTTTAGGAATTCATATGGTATTTCATCGGGTCCGGGAGATTTATTATTTTTAGTATTTATAAGAGAGATTTCTACTTCCTCCACAGAGATAAACGCATCTAAATAATCATTACCCATTACTGGATTTCTCAACGTATAATAGCTTTCATCCCGCATCGGAAAATGGTCCCTAAAAAAATCTGCCCACAATTCTAAACCAATTGGATTTGATACAGCAGACTTTCGACGAAATCTATTAACTGAACTCCAAAAGGAAGACGAGTCTTTTGAAACCGAAAGCGATTCTAACATACGATTATTGTAATTCGTTTTTTTAGATTTAATTAGCTTTTCATGTATTTTTCTAAACGTGTTATAGTCCTTTGTTTTATCTGGGGGAAAACCTTACCGTCTACATTCCGTTAATTTATTTTTTAATAACTTTTTACTTACAAGACATTCCTTGTCAAACCATGGCTTGGAATGACCCAACCTTGAATTAGTTCTCGCAATCAAATTCAAACTCTCAGAAACATTCTTTATTGTATTTATCAAATTATCAGCTAAGTCGTCAATATTATCCGTTGAAATTGGTACATTAGTGCTAATTGACATTTTATTTTTATAATCATCCGATGTATTTTCCTTACATTTGAATTTATTTTTAACAATATTTAATTTTACGGACATGTCTAATGTGAGAGCCAGGGCGAAATGGTCCGATCCTGAGATCAAGTTTATTACTTTTAAGTTTTTTACTAAATGCGTTGAATTAAGTCTGATCCATATTAGATCTATTAAAGATTTGCTACCTAATGAGTTTAAAAACGAATAGTTTGCCGGAATATCACCCGTAACTCTCCCATTCAACAGAATAAAACCGTTCGATTCCATCCATTCAACCAGAATTTCCCCTATTTTATTTATTACAGAGTCAAAGCTGGCTCGACAGTTTACAATATTATCATTCGTCAAGTTCAATTCCTCATCCAATTGATTAAGATCTCCCACTCTACAATTAACATCCCCTCCCAAAAAATAGGGATTTCAGGGCAGTTTACATATGTTAAAAATAACAGCTTTTTTAATTGATTTAAGCTTTCTATTATATTGACATTAGGATTAAAATAAATCAGGCATACTTTAAAATGTGAGTTATTTTTCTTGAATTTAGTTGAAATAATTGAATCCCGTTTGTATAAAATTTCTGATTTATAAACATTCCAGTTGTATACTATCATTAGCCCCCCTTAGGTCTACCTCTACCATCTATCTTTGTTGCCGGAGAAGAGATGACCTCCCACTGTAGGTTCCCTAGTGAAGTGAAGAATGAAGGTGCGCGTACGGCCCAAGTCTCCACAATACATATTATATCCGCCTGCGTTGACACCTCGAGAAGACTAGAGATATTGCTGGATCCTCTGGAGTTCCAATACAAGATCCTCGATGAATTGCCAAAATCAGAACGTCATTCTAGAGTATTGGTTGAGTCTTTCCTTATAATAAAATCAGCCAGGGTACCCGTCGAATTATTGTTTAGTGCTTTCAAGGTTTTTTTTAGAGTTGTTTGTTGATCCCGGTTGCCTTCCTCGTTTTCGAGAGATAGAAAAGAGAGTAGATATATTTGAATCCGTGAATAATATAATATAAATAAACTAATTCCGTTATCTATTTATTTTTGTCTTCATATAGCTGGGTGAATTATAATCATATTTCTCCTGCGCCGAGCTTTATACCTATATATAACTATATATATTTCGGTTGCTAGGTGTGAAAACATTATATATATATACCTCTGATTTTGAATTTGAGTTAAAAAACATGATATCGTGTTTCAAAGCAAACCCGAGGTTTTATATATATTTACTCATATATATAGCAATCGTTTTTTAGGTAATAAAGGGTTTTCGAAAATGCGAACATATTACACATGCTTCTTCTTTTGTCGAAGAAAAAGAAAAATATTTAATTAGCTTTAAATTCTTTATTATTTAAAAAAACATCTTTAATCTTTCATATAAATTAAAAAGAGATATGAAATTGCCAAAGTCATAGAATTTTTATTTGTAAGTAAAAAGTTTAAAACAATATAATTTATAAAACGAAGAAAAATACCTTCGTCAAATTATATTACCATATAATTTATTGCATAATGAAAAAACATCTGCAAAAAACTAGAATTTGCTAAACGTTTGACAAAAAAAAAGGAAATTTTTTAAAATATTTAATTTTATTTATGGAACTAATATTTTATAATAATTAAGTTTATCGATTGTCCTTTGTGGGAATAAAATATTATTTATGTTTTGGTTAGGTTAAAATATATAATTTTCTAATAGTTTTTGAATGAGAATAATAAAAATATAAGAAATTTAAAGTTATATGAAATAATAATAGTTATACAATTTCGTACATGTAATAATTAACATGAGTAAAGAAAACAAATTTTATAACATAAAATTGTAGTTAATAAACTCAAAAAATTATTAAATTTCTTAAATATTGAAACTACGCATTCTTTAAAATATTGTCGGTGAATGACGAGAAAGTTGATGATGTTGATGATGACGAGTATCGTCACGAAAATTATGGTGATGATTATCGTCCTGCAGATGATGATGACGATCTACTTCGCGAAGATGATGAAGATAATAGTTAAGATAATCCTGAAGATAATGGTGATGATGAAGATGATGATGGCAATGGTGATGATGAAAATCGTCAAGAAAATCAGCAACGTCAAGAAGGTATTTTTATTTTAGAAATTTTTAACAAATACATATTTTATTTTTAATTTTTATTACATTATTGCAAATTTTTGCATGCTGATAAACTTTTTTATTGTCACTTGTCGGATCACCTGTTGTTTAAAACGATGAAGTAAAATCAAAATTGAAACCTACTAAGCAACGTATAAACAAAATTATGACTTTACTAATATAAATTTACTGCTATGTAATTTAATTTGATTTCCAATTAAAAACAATTTTTTACAGATGCTCATCTTCGCAGGATTGAAGGAGAAAATGATTTTTTTATGATTTTGAAAGAATTGTAGCGTCGAGTTTTGAACGAAAACCGAGGTAGATGTTTTTACGAGATTAGACTGATAATACAAGAGAAAAGACGACAGCGACAATAATTACTATTTAAGACTTACTATACATATTTACTTAAAATTACTACTATTTTATAACAACCTTCATTGGACAAAATAAATAGTTAAATTTAAATGTCTTGTAATTATTCATTACAATATATCATCAAAAAAAAGATAATAATGTACTTCATAATATATGTACTGTAGGTACGAACTAGTGAAGGAAACTTCAAAGGATATCATGTAGGAACACACACTACTTACCAAGAGCAAGGTACGTACAAACTTGTGAAAGAAACTTCAAACGCAAGATCATCTCTCGGATTCTACGTAGGATCTTACATTAAAAGTTGTTTATAAAAGAAATTGTACATGATCTTACACAAGAAAAATCATGAGATCACAGGAATTTTTTAATAGGGTGAAGCTCTTCTCTCCGTGAAGGTTATAGAATAATATATCAAACGGTAGTGAAACGTCAAAATGTTAATATGAAATTATCATCAAAGCAGATGTGAGTAACGTTTTTGTTTTAAACTGAAATAACTTTTATTTACAATTTTTTGTCATGTAGGTATTAAGTAAAAATGACCAATTTAGCAATAACTCAAAAAAAGGATCAGCTACGATTTTGGTCTTTACGATTTTTAAAGCTCTAAAGAATGAGGAATGAAATGCCGCTATCCGATTTTGTCACCATTTTTGCAAAACCTAAATCTACTTAAAGCCAAGCGTGATACAGTGCGCATTCGTAGGTAATTGACTAAAGGAAAACTAGGAGGTAGTCAATTGGTTGTCGAATCAGATATATACCCAATACTCTTACTTGTCGCGCACTAGAAAGATCAAGAAACATCCTTGAGAAAATATCTTAAACCAGGGGCCACCATGAGTAAAAGATACGTCCCTGAGTTTCGCATCCAGATGAAAGAGAAGCTCCTCTATTCACCAGGTAGCGGTAAACGTGATAGGAAGTACACATCTTAGCGTCGTTTCGAGGTGGCTCCCACAGAGAAGTCGCAAGGGTGACGCACTAGGTACGAGGAAGGTGTCTATCACGGTCTCTCGCAGAAGCTCCTACAGAGAGTCCGTTAAGAGAGAAGCTCCTCTATTGAGCACCAGGTGGTCAGGAGTGAGTCGCTTCCAGTCGGCCAGGGAAGCTTCTCTAGGCGAGTCGGAAGACGATTGAGGAAAAGGTGCGAAACAAAAGGTATATCACTGACAGCCAGGTGACAGTGAGTGGTGGAGGAAGAGAGTGACACTACTACTACTTACGTTGTGTACTTTCTTTCTACGGAACATACGGCTGGGCAGTAAACTTTGGGGGTTTATGAAGTGCTTTACCAAATTTATAATTTTTTATAAAAAAATTACAATATATATTATAATATAATTATGCTTAGTATATTTCCATATTACTTTAAGTAAACTTACAGCAACTTTACGAGAAGCATACAACAACCTTACCATGTAAACTTACCACGACCTTACTGTATAAGTTTACCTTAGCGGAAGTTTTAGTTTAGTAAGGCGGAAGTTTTCAAATGGCTTCAAGTTTACTGCAGGCTTACACGGTAACCTTACAATCCCTACAAATATCCTTACAATAACCTCACAGTAAGAAGTCGTGCTATGTGGGATCTTAAGGGCAGGTCACAGTCGTATGGCAATAGGCAACCAGGTCTTACATTAAAAAAAAGTTTCAAAATATAAGTGGAAAAGTGATTGGAACATTAGGAAAGATTCAAAAAGTAAATAGGATGATATTTTTGACAAGGAAAATAATAAAAAAAATTTTTTACAATATATTTCTATTTAGACTAAATCAACAGGTAACAGGAGACATCAGATTTTAGTCTATATTTTCGCTGAGCGCTGGCACATGGTGCCACGCGTACATAATTTGTGAAAGTAAAGAGTGAATACTTTCTCTTTCCATGCAAACATGCAGACCCGCGCGGAGACTTGTGCTTTGGAAAGTGGGGATGTCAGTTTTTGAACTGTAGCCTGTAAATTTTACATTTATAAAATTACAGAACAAAATGTAACAATTTTGAAAATGAGAAATATTTTCTTATATAATAATATAATATGATTCAAATTTAATTAAATAAATTATTTCGCTGGGTTATTGGAAAAAAAGGACACGTCATAGTTAAATCAAACGGACGTATCCTTTTTTTCCACTAACCCAGCGATTTCATTTTAATTTATTTAATTTGTTAAATATTTTAATTATATATATTTGTCCTGACGCGGTGAAAGGGACCTTACGGTTCCAAAGCAAATTTTACAGGAGAGGCGCTCGAAGTGTAGCACGAAAATAGACATTTGAGTAGTGGGGACGTACAACTGCAAATCAGCACCACTGCTCACCACTACAACGCTACACTCATATATCTGTGAGCATGCTACCTTCGTGCATCTTCGGCTCTACCATATCTTGTACCTCCCTACTCTTTCTAAGCTCTGATGTAAACATTGCCCTGGGCCCGGCAAATGGATTCAGTTTATATTAAAGTTAATTGATTAATTTTTATTGACAAAATAATACGTAAATAACTTGAAATATCTTGTTCGGATTTGTCGGATTAATTAGATGAGGGCGAGCTGATTAAGAAGCATCTCCATTTTTAAAAGTAATTTTGTGGTTATAAAAGTTGGATTTTTGACAGAAGTGGGGACAGACATTGAATCTATGTGGCGCCAATTCTAGCTAGTGGCCGCTGCTGAACTAACTTACCCCAAATTACTCCACTTTAAATCTTTAATAAAATAATTTCCTCACAATATTATTGCAAAAATAATATTCCTCTATTATTCCTCCAAATGCCAACTCGAAATACTTTATCCTTTAAAGATGAGAAGAAATTTACGAAACCCCTTTTTGACAATGTTTAAACATTTTTTTAATAATTATTTATTAATTCTCTGAAAATCGTTGTTATCAAATAAAATTAATTTTTATTATTTATTTTATCAACAGAGAAATTTTCAATTTTTACTTTTCTTACAACAGTAAAAATAACATTACTTTTGCTGTATAAATAAGTTATATGTCTTGAATTTAAAATATAAATTATTATTATTATACATTATTAAAATAATGAAAATCTAATAAATTGTTTATTGCAATTTTACTGGCTTTAATATGAGATAAATCCATTTTCCGGGCCCAGCGCAATGTATACATCAGAGCTTAGAACTAGTGGGGAGAGACATGAAATGGTAGAGCCGAAGATGCACGAAGGAAACACGCTCACCGATATACGAGGGTAGCGTCGTAGTGGTGAGTAGTGGTAGTGGTTTTGCAGTAGCCACGAGGCGCCCGAGAATACGCGGAAAAGTACTTATGTTTAAAGCTATATAACACAATAAGTATTTGAAGGAGACAAATTTTAATTGTTGGAAATGAAAAAGCCATTCAAAAACTATCGATTGGTATAAAAAAATAAAAATCGATTTATTTAATCTTAAGGTCCCTTTCACCGCGTCAGGACACATATTTACTTTTAGTGAAATTGACATAACCTCATCTGTCAACATTATTTTACAATAATTTTTTTATATTATAATTGATAAAGGAAAATAAAAATAATTTTAATAAATTAGTTTGAAAACAAATTTTTATGAATAATAAATTATATATATGGGACGTTTCACGTCAACCGGCCCAGAGCTCTATCCAAAATTCTAATCAACGAAAATCAACTTATTACGGCTCAAAATAATCGTCAGCTCATACTGCTTCGAATAAAAAGTGGCGAATTAAAAAATTCAAAATGGCGTCCTTACTGTACCGTGTTTTGCAAATTTTTTTACTAACTTAGCAAACAAATTTACTAACTTCCTTGAGAAAATAATTGCAACTTGTTGGATAATGTCACTCTTATGTTTTTGGGGTCGCTGATTACGAATCTGAAGTCAGATTTTTAAAATTTTTCAAATTCAAGATGGCGCATCCAATATGGCGGACATTATTATTAAAATTTGATCAAATTTGCTTGAAACTTGCTACTCGGGGGTTTTTAGGGTCGCTCATTACGAATATAAAGTCAGATTTTAAAAATTCAAAATGACGGATCCAATATGGCGACCACATTTTTTTAAAAATTATCAGATTTGCTTGAAACTTGTTACTTGGTGGTTTTTAGGGTCGCTAATTACGAATCTAAAGTCAGATTTAAAAAATTTTTTAAATTCAAAATGGTGGATCCAATATGTCGAACAAAATTTTTTTTAAAATTATCAGATTTGCTTAAAACTTGTTACTCGGGGGGTTTTTGGGGTCGCTGATTACGAATATAAAGTCAGTTCTTAAAAATTTTCCAAATTCAAAATGGTGGTTCCAATTTGGCGACCAAATTTTTTTTTAAAATTATCAGATTTGCTTGAAACTTGTTACTCGAGGATTTTCGGGGTCGGTGACGACGAATTTGAATCTGGATTTTATAAAACAAGAATGGTGGTTCCAAAGTGGCTAATAAAATATTTAAAAATTGCATGGATTCGCCACCCTTAACTCCATTAACCACCCCCTTCACATTATTCAATTAGTTGTTTTAAATTTTTCTTCCATACAAATTTAGGCTTCATTTAAAGGATCTTAAATATCATAAAAGCAATTTTTCAAAATACTACCCTTAATCCCCAAAACTACCCCATAATATAGAAATTTAATATTTTTTAAAATTTACTCTACATAAATCTTTTATAATTTTAGCTAATTTGAGGCTTTTAAATAGCCTTAAATTAAATTTTGAAATATCTACCCTTAACTCCAAAAACCTCATCCCTTAAATATTTAAATTGCTTTTTTAAAATTTTTCCTTTCCTTTATAAAAATTTTTTCCATATCATTTTTTTACAATTTAAGCACAACTGAAACTTTCAAATATTCTCAAATTGAATTTCAAAAACTGTCCTTAACTCTAAAAACCTTAACCTCAAAAATCAGCCTCATTACATTTAAGTTTATAAATGCAAACAAATTTTACAATTTCATCCGCCATATTCGCTCCACCAT